ATGGAGTGACATTAATTCCGACAAAAAAAAAAATTGACTGTTATTTTTTGTCGTCTGTCCAATAATGTACACTTATTCAACAAATTTTGCCCACTTATTTGCGCAAATAACATAAAAATTTACTGTTAAAATATCAAGATAATTTTTGGTATACCACGGTCCCATATTTTTGGGTCAGCGGCTCAGGATTTTCTTAAACTGCTCAATTGCATATACCATATAAATAATAAAATGGAATTTAAAGTTCAAATTTGGTATCGTATTTTTATGAAATAATATGGTTTCAAAATAATGTCTGTGCGTCTAAATTTAACAAAAAACAAAGTTTTGCAGGATTATGAATAATTACTTGATCTAACCTCTTCAACTTTAAAAATTTGGAGATTATCGATAAAGATAAACGTTTATGGAAAATTATATTAAACTACCGGTATGTACGTTCGAACGATAATTAATACAATTAAAGAATTAGAAAAATGTCTGAAGGATCAGTCTTTTTTTTATTATTATTGTTACGTGCATCTCGTACCCATCTTTAGTCAAGATTGCGCCTTATGACTATTTGTAGTAAAACTCCATCCAGTAATGATAATATTCACAATTCACGAGAATTATAACAGCATGGATCAATTCCTTTATCACCTTTTTTTTAGTTAAACAGTCGCGACCATGACTTGGTAACATATTCCTGGTGGTTTTCCCAAATTTTCGTTGGTCGTGGAATAACGCTTGAGGTGTCAGTTCAAATCAAAAGGTGATTTGCATTATTTTTTTCTTGTGTACATCATATGTAAAGTTATAAAAGTCTAACTCTACTCTTCTGGAAGTTGGCGTCAAATCAACGGGGCTGCAGTCAATGTTGATGGGACAGTTTGGTACGTCAGCAAAAACGGGTGCTAGTAAAATCACGACAAGCACAGTCCCGACAGGTCATAATTCCGACGACAGTCAGAATTTTCAAGTAGAAAATTCCAAATATGAGTATGTTTAAAGCGAAGTAGCCTCTTATAATTTAATTAACTTTAGGGTTAGGTCACTTTAGATAAGAATTAGGCTAGGGTTAGCTATGGTTTATGATATTTTTCATCAGAATTTTTAATTGTCGGGATTTTTAACTGTCGGATTTTTGGCTGTCGGGATTTTTACTGTCGAGATTATGACCTGTCGGGTTTGGGTCAAAATCCCGACAAGCGAAATCCCAACGCAAACGAAAAAATCTTTACTCACATTAATAATCCATGGTACGTAGTGTATCTTGTTGATATTTTTATAGTACTTTCAATACTAAGTTTCTTCAATTTAGAATGGTAAAAAGTTGATGGTGCATTAGTCTAAATATCAGGTATTCATAATTATTATTATGCTAAAATTTTCATTTCTTTGTGTTAATATTTATCTATTTCACAAGAATCATGTTTGGGATGCAGTCACCAGAATCAAAATTTTACTGGATTAATGGTGTTGTTGACGATGTTTGATTAATGATTAGAAATATATTTTAGATTTTTTGTCTTTATTTAAGATCATATTCATCAAATCATTCTTAAAATAATCAGTATCAGTAGCTGCTGATGAACAGTATGGAATGTTAATAATAATGAAATGGAATGGTGTTAGTTGGTACGAAACAATTATATATATATATATATAAGAACTGTACATTGTATCCTCTTAGATTAATTATATACATATATAGGGAATTAATTCTTGTAGACTTAAACAGATTTACACTAGTATGTAGTAACACTTATATATTGTTGGTACAAATTCTGCTAACGAAAATTTTTAATATCATCGAGGATCATAGTTCAAGTACTGTACAACGGCTCTTTTAAACATATCACAATTAGTATTGATAATATTATTTGGGTGTCAACAGTGGCACCAGATTTTTACTCATCAAAGGTGGTAGATTTGATGGTCATGCTTTTAAATGAAATATTTATTTATTCCACGATTTTTATTTATACCCCATACTATTTGTTCATGCTTATTGCCCAGATCGTGAGTTCGGACTGATCCGGAACTTTTATATTTCCTTTTTGATTATATGTATATATATATATTTTGGTTTAACGTTAATGTTTTTAGACGTACCTTAACGACTTTTTAATGCGTTGTCAAAAAAAAATCACCGAATAAAAGAAAGGAAAAAAACAACAGATAGAAGAAACCTCATGATCAATAAACAAAACTTTTATGAAATACGCCGCTTTTAATTAAAAAATAGTATGAAAGTATAAATAGAACCATGAAATAAATCAGTTATTGCCCACGAAGTAGTCAATAATTAAAATTTTGACACTAATCTGATGATCGGAACAATGGATGGCTGCGCTATTCCGTCATTTTCCGATCATCAGATCTGTGTCAAATTTTCACTTATTGCCCGCGTAACAAGCAATATTAATAACTTATCTATTTATATGGGAAAAATTTTTTTTGTGCTTTAATAATTGACGTTTATTATAAATAAAGATATGTATAATAAATGGTTTAATATGAAATACTGAATTAAAGAGCGTAGTCTAATCAAACTCAATTCCAATCCATCGAAACTAGTTTCGGAAGGTTCTAATCCGAAACTCCGAAACCCGAAATTCCGAAACTATAATCCGAAACTCCGAAACTATAATATAAAATTTTTAAAAATTATAAGTTATAAAATAAATTTATTTTAA